TCGTTGTAGGCCGAGATTTTTGGTCTTCAGACTCGAATTTTAAGGTTAAAAACCGAGTTTAGTGCCCTTTAAGATTCTTTTTGAATCACAAGTAGACTAAAGCTTTTACTACCCTCCACCAGGCCCGCTAATTAATTATTTGCATTTTTGATCAGCAGAGAAGCGTGCCATAAATTAGCCAGAATCATAACTGTAAATATCTACTGAAAATCAATCTGCGACCCCTGGAAGCGGGCAAGGGAAGAACACATGCGTTGTACGCTCCCTTTATATTGCGTTTTGTGCATGTGCAGAAAAAACGCGTCATTTCTACGAATGCAGTGTAATAGCAGTTCAACTACTCAACAAATTTGTTCGATACTACCAGTCAACATTTATTTACACAGTCAATGAACTACTGTACCATTTTTTTTTCGGTGCTTTTAGACCTACATGTGTAAATTGCGTCATTGTTGCAGGTGGCTTCTTTATTTCTCCATCATTGCCTGATCTTGGTTTTATCTTCACGCTCACTTGACTCACACAATAAGTTCACATATATTCCGTTCAGAAGCCTCGATCTAAACTAAAGCAAATGTTTATATAATAATGGATCCCCATCCAGGGAAGGCGATTTGGATTTGCTGAAATCGTAATGCTATACTAAGTCACGTTTCTTTTTCAGACCTTTTTCGTGATGTAAGGTGACCAGGGTTCTCCTTCGCCCCCCCCCCCCCCCCCCCACCGCCCCTCGAGACGGATTTCACATGACGGATATGAAGTGAATTTTCCTACGATATCAAGTTGAATTTTATAGAATGTGACACAAACATGAAAAAAAGGAAAGAATGTAATTTATAAGAGAAAATGGTTGGACTTCCATCACAACCATTTGGACTAACACACACACACACACACACACACACACATCATCTATCCATTTTTTTTTTCAATATTCTCAGGTGGTTTATTAAAGTACAAATGTCACGTAATAAATGTATATTATAAATGTTTCAAATTTGCTTGACCATCAACCTTCTCGAAGAAGTTGCTTGATTGTCTGGCCTGTCAGATGCGAAAGAATTAAAGTTGTCGGACTCGGGTCATTAGGATAGTGTTAATTTCGAACACTGTAGGTAAGTTATAGTCAAACAAAGCAAATAAAATGTAAGGCTAAAATATTTGGTGACAGAATTTTACCAATGTCGCTTAAAAGTGTAAATAAGGGGCTTGGTTTTTATCCGAGAAAAAAATAAGTCATAAGATACATCTTTTTATTATTTACAATGACAAGAGTATTAACAATATTTACAATACACAGCCATGATAACTTTGCTCAAGAGCTGAACAAATCTGCCCGTTTTTTCCTTTCTTGATATAAGGAGCAATGTTCATATTATTAATATATACAATTATATACATATTAACATAATATAAACATATTAACAACCGCCAGCACTGCTGAACAAGAGAGCTTCTTCAGTTTGACAATGCCGCTCTAAATAGTTGATTATCCACGTGACTTGCTGAAGTCCTTGTGCAGCTGCGTAGGTATACTTCTTCACAAGCCACGGACACAAATATATATTGCACTTCCCCGGTATCAACACAGATATTGCACGACGCGGAACTGTTGTATCAGTCATCTCCTTTGAGCTGGTCAAGATCTTGAAAGACCAGTAGCTCATATTGCACTTTCCCCGGTGATCACGACAGGAGATGGTCTTAGCTAGTGTTTATGATTTGGAGAAGCACTGTAAATAAATAAATAACAATTATTTATTTATTATTGACATATTAATGAAGATTGGCAACATTTTCATGTATATCGGAATAACAAAGTTAATAAGATTATTTTTTCTTATACTATAAAATAAAATAGTTCATGTTTCAATACTTAATATTCATACCTGCTTTAAACATCTTGGCAATGCTTTCACAATCCTTCTCTTGATTCTTTTCAAAAAGGATTTTATTTTCTTGCTGATGTTGACGCTCTCAAAGTTGTCTTTGCGAGCGTAATCATCTGAAGTGAAAAAAAATTTCAAATTAATTATCTCTCCATGCTAATAAACAATGGGATTTAGATATATCAATATTACTTATACTAAAATTAATATAATTACTATAATTTATATTACTAACATGACATTAAATTTAGAGCACATCTTTTGGCATTGAAAATTGGATAAGTGGATTAAAAGAGGAATGAGAAAAAAAGTCTGAAAATGTGTCGAATTTTTTACCCTACCTGGCCATATAAGGGGGTCCTCCTCAATCGTGGGTAGTTTGTTGAGGAAAAGAACCTTGGTGGCGACCTCAGGGCCGGGCAGATCCTCCACGCGCCACCCCACGGGCCTGCCAATCATAGGGACCCAAAACATCCCGGCACATGCCGTTCCAGATGTTACGTCAATCACGCGGGCGAAGGCGTGTTTTGGACGGTCTAGTGGACACGCCCACTGAGGGCACGCCCTCACTGGCACTACGCCGTGTTTACACCCTAGAAGACAAGATGTAGAAGGTGCTTTATTCAGAATAATTCAAGACCGTTTAATCAATATGTATGTCATCTTGATTTCCAAAAGTTGCAAAGATAAAAACCAATATATTTGAAATAGTTTCTGAAAATCATTCCTTGGCAAAACTTAGTAGGCCTACATGTAAATTATCAACATATCTGATAAGGAACGTTTATAAGAAGCGTTATAAATAAATAATACAACAATATGCGCACATGAAATAATAAAAGGACTTGCTGTAGTGGTGTAGTGTGTACAATGCACGTCGACAAATTGTTACTTACCACCACTTTCTACTTCTACAGATTTTCCACATTCACCGAACATATAGAGAGAGTACAATCGTTCAATATATCAACGTAGAATTCTGAAAAGATGAATAAACCTTCGTTACTGAAAAATGGTCAACGTAGCTGACGGACGTACATTTGTAAGAATTAAGAAAAAATTTCCTTTATAATCTTCCTGTGAATAAAGACAAACCAAACACGGCAAATCACGTTTGATAAAGAAGAAATAAATGACAAACGATAGTTCTTAAACGCCCTGTGGTCTTTTTGAATTTAAGAGTAAAAAAGTGATTGCTACTCACCAATTCGCGAAATGCGCAATTCTGAGTTGAGCGGGTTGCTACGCTCCCATTCTGTTCATTGATTGGTTCATATCACAATGCGGTTTACGTCACAGTACACCGACGTCATAAAGTGACAGTCGACGTCGACGTCATAGCACTCTGGGCCCAGTTTCACCAACACTGGATAGCGCTATAGTCATTGGATGAAAGCGTTATCCTCTAGACAGTTATCATAATAATATCAGCCACTGGAAAGCAACATCAGAAACAAAAATGTTTGTCAAGTATTAAGGGAACATCACTTTACCCACAGGAGAACTGTCCAGAGGACAACAATTTCGCCCAATGGATGGTGTTGTCCGTAGGATTGCGCTATGTGTTAGTATATATAATATATATAATATATATATAATATATTTATATTTTAATCCTCTCAATGAAAAACAATCATTTCTGCAAGGAGTTGTTTCATATAAATCTTTTGTCCTTGGACTAATTAGCCTTAATTGCTACAATTGGAGAATTCTAAGAAATATTTGAAAAATGCACTGTGCTCGTCTAAGATTCCTTGCAGTTTTCGCTCATTCAGATTTTCTTGTATTTCGCGTTATTTTTGTTCAAAGCAGAGGTCAGCGCAGATTGTGTTAGGTGTGATCCTGTGTGGTATCATGGACTCAGGTGTGGCACATCTAACACAATGCAGCGATCCTACGTTGTCAGTAATTCCATAAGGCCAAAATGAATCCATACATCTCTTTGGTCAAAATGCAATCATTTCTGTTCAGTTGTTTTAGTTCAGTTTCAGTTATTTTCTAATTAATTCGTATCCAGAGGTGAAAAATAACGTGTATATCAAATATGTCACCACATCACTGCGCTTTTGTATTTTTTTTACTGCTTTGATACTTGGACCTAAATAGGTCCAAGTTTGATACAAGAGTTAAGTAGCGTATGCTGACAATAATAGCTCATTTTGTTTTTAAGTGCAGCATCACTTACAGCAGTAAATAAAATTTAGCTAGTCAACCTTACTATGCAATTTTCAATTAGCTTTACTTTCTGTTTAGTTAAGTTAATTGGCATTCAAGTTCTTAAACTTATATATTGTCTCTCATAGTATAGGAAACATCTTTTTTAAAATAAAATAAAACAAGGTATATTTCACTGCTAAATTTTATTATAACTTTCATTTGAATTTTACAAAAATTTTTTGAGGTGTCCAAGATACCCTTGGCAATGTTGAAAAGCAGATGTGACATCAGAGGAATGTGTGGATTAAAAAAAAAACACCTAAAATGTGTTAGCAGTACTTGAATACAGGTAATAAATAACATTTAAATATTTAAGTATCACTTTATAAAGCTATGCTACACCAAGCTCATAACTTGACTGTTAAACCAATTCACAACCAACTGAAATGGTGGAAAAGCAAAATTAATTGCAGTTGGTCCCATACAAACATGCTACAAGAGTGCACTTCATTTTCATTTGCATAGATTCATAGTGATATATTTCTCTTCCTCTCTCTCTCATTTACATGTGCATTATATTACACAGTGCATTTCTAGAATTGAGGTTTTTAAATTTGAAACACTTTCATTATATCCTTCTCCTAAAGCTAGGACTTCCATCTATACTAACACTTTTTTGTGTCCTACTATTCTTTCTTCCACACTAAATACAGTTTTCATAGAAAATTTACAAAATGATATGTAAAGCTTCATAAGCCTTTTGGTAGTTGGTTATAACAATGTATAATCCAAATAATAAATGGTATATAAAGTGTATATTATGCTTTAGAGATATTCATACATTTATAGAGATGTATGTATAATATGGTAGATATGATATAAATAACCACTTCGCACAATACAAATATTACAGTTTGTTGAAAAAACCACTGCTCAACAATGGTTACGGAGACATTAAAGACACAATGAAAACTTGAGTAGACTATGGCAGCACATTTATATTAAGTAGATCAAAGTGGCACATGTTTAATTCAGAAAATGACACAAACAGCTATATAATCTTGGACCCCTCAAATTTATAGGCCAAACATTGAAAAAAGTCTAAATTTAAATTAACAGGTAATAAATATAAAGCACAATGATAATAATATAAATCTAAGCAAGCTAGATATTTTAACTAAAATTAATCCCTACATTATAAAACATAATTTAAAAGTTAGAAAAGATTGGGAGGAAAGACTTATCTCTTTTTTTTAAGAAGAATTATGGCACAAAAATACAGTAATTTATATTAAGTATACATCAAATGGATTTCTCCAATGTTTTTCACTTTTTTTAATGGCACTATCTTAATCTCTTGCAGCATGTGTAAAAATTACTGCTTGGTATTCTGAAGTTCTTTGTCATTATTGTCACAGTTGATTCTCAGTTGATATCAACATTGCAGCTTTCAAAATTATCACATATTTTCAGTTTCTTGCAGCTGCATTTTTAAAGTTCTGTCCGACTTTCTTGATAAGATGTTACATAACGCTCTTCACGGGTTTCTGTGGTATGGGCTTGGTTTCTTAAAGAAAAAGATGTCAAAATTTAAGTTGATTATAGTCAATTGTGCATTATTTATATTATTCCTGTAACAATATAAAAAAAGAGTAAAGATCACACATAAACATGTAAATATTTCAATCACCAAAAGGTAATAGCTCAACTTACAGAGCATCTGGAACCATGTACAAGATTTTTATTATATATTTTTCTTTCAATGTGTCTTGGTGATAGTGTTTCTGACATGGATATCTGTCTTTGTATATTATTGGTATATTGGACAGTATGCAAGTTGTGACAGAGGGTATATTGTGACAGTGTGTTAGTTGTGACAGAGGGTAAATAGTGACAGTGTGTTAGTTGTGACAGTGGGTACATTGTGACAGTATGTTAGTTGTGACAGCAGAAGTTTAAACAATGTGTTTGTTTGCCTGATGTGTAAGTTGCAGCAGTGTGCTATCTATGATATTGATAAGTGTGCATATTGCAATAATGCAAACATATTTGATATGTCATGGCTGCGAACCTTACCCTTCATAGATAGGATTAATAGCAGCAGCCACTCCACCATCTGCAGTGTGCGTAACCTGCATGGCTTCTGTGTGTGCTCCTCCAGTAGCATAGGCCTGTGCGAGGTCATCTGCTTGGAAGGTGAGGTTGACCTCTCCGAGACCTTGATCAGCTTCATCCGTAGGCACAAACATGGTGAGACTCTGGAAAAATTAACAACGGAAACCCCATGAAATTTTAACTTAGAATCCATACAGTAACTTCATTTTTGTTTACACACCCTCTGGGATTAATGGTCATACAATGGGAGAGGAAATTCAAAATGTTTTATTAAAATCTATCTTGTTACTGTGGTAGCCAAATGTTGCAAAAAAGAAAAGAATCCATAAGTTTATTTTGATTTATTACTTATTATATGACATGTATATGTCAAACTAGATATTTATTTCAAAATTTTAGAACATTTGCAAGGTCTAGCATGGACATGGACACAGTAATACAAATAAAGTCACTTGCTGGCTGAAGAGAATAATTTTAAAGTCACACCATACACATGCTTGCAGAGAAACAATTTTACATAAAACAAATGGAATGTATAAACGAGGAATCTTTTCGGACCTATATCTATATATCTTACAACAGAAAATGTCATGCTACACTGAACATTCAACATAATAGATCATACAGAATCTGAAAAATTAAATGAAAGGTGACACAGATAATATACTGATAAATAAATTCTAAAATAAACCGTGACACAAGCACTGAAATAGTTTAAAAATGTGTTTCAAGAATGTAGTGTTGTCCATGCTCTTATGTATAAGATTGTTCACATAAATGTCAAGTATGGTATGATAGAGAAAGACTTTTATCAGTGTGAAAAAGTGAACCAGCACATTAAAACTGGTATTACTAGCTAGATCACATAAAAATGCGTTTCACTTATTGCACAATCACATGCTACAAAAAGCTGAAAAAACAGAACAGCAATGGAGTGTGCTGGTTGTGACAACATCACACCTAACACAATTTCATGGCATACTTTAGTTTCTTCTTCATCATCTCCAGGAGAGACAATAGCAAACACCATGGTCACACTCTGCAGTAAAAGAAATCATAATGGTATAGGGTTTTACTGTATATCAATCTAAAGGCTGCATCTGGGAAGCCATATGCACTTATGGTATTTCTATACCATAACGAGTGATAGTCCTGCATGTTAAATATCTGCTACTGACATCTGAAAGTTCTAATTATCACTAAAGAGACATATGAGTGTGCCCCATTTCCAGAAAAAGAAAGTTAATATCTTCCTCAACCCATATAGTTACTATATTAATTTATTTAAGACAGGTTTTCAGACTTGTCACATATTTCATTGGCAACCACAGTAAAACCAGGAATGTATTAAGCATATCAGAGAAAATACTCATATTTCATGATAGCTAAGCACTTGCACTGACTGAAGTCATAAAAATTTTATGTCTACATAATAAGGGGGGTCTATATCATGCACAATCAATAAATACAACTAAGGGAAATTATTAAGTTAATTACACACATGCACTTGTAAACTCTAGTACTAATCACTCCTAATTACTCATATCAAAAGATATTTGTTTGACCATGCATCACTGGGAATTACCACTTCCCTCTCGGTTTTAGTTTTCTGAGGTTTGTGGTCTCTCATGCAATCTTGATAAAATAAGGTAAACTGGCAAACGGTCAATAGGTGAATTTCAGCTGTAAAATATACTGTGAGGAAAAATGACAAATTGTATCTCATGCTAAGTGGTACAATCTCATAAAATAGATTTTTTCAGATAACAAGAATTGAAAATAAATCCTTACATAGATTATTGATCATTAATTCTTTTTTAGCGATGAGAATTTTTCTATTAGTAATAACACATATTTCTGTTCAGAATCCTCGGACAATTCTATGACAATCAGCATGCACCATATTGTTTATGTAAAAGAAATACCAGAATAAATGTTTGTATGCATATATATAAATATATTATATGGGTTAAAAGTTCTTTCTAGAAAAAAAATCCTACTTTTGTTTCATCTTCTTGTATATGATCCCCTACATTCATGGTCACACTCTGAAACATGGCAAAATTTTCTACTCAGCTCTTTTTTCTTGAAATTAATCAAAGTGTGATGACTGAAAGTATTTAGTTTCTCTTTTGTATATATATTCTTGAGCTATGATCAAATTATTTCAAATGTTCAAGATATATTAAAACAACACTGGACAAAAAATAAATCCTTTTTTCTCCTTCATACAAAACTATCTTCCAAACAAAAATATGTGAGAAAATCCCAGCTAATATTAGACAAAGAAACTTTCTTTTTCAAAACAAAAGTATACATATATTATGATCAAAGGTGTTAGTTTCATTTAAGCTTGATTACTTTGGTCTCATCCTCAACATCAGAGTCGTGGAAATTCACAGCAGCACCCTGAAATTATGTCATTCTAAATAATCTACATGTAACTGGCACAAGTTGTATAAAAATAACTCTCTCTAATATAAAATAAAAATATTTTTCAAAGTATTCCAGTATAAAAAATCTCACAATTTCATACACAAAATTTCATGTTAAGTTAGTACAGATTTTTTAAAAAATACAACACGTAAAGAAAATTTTATGTTATCAATCACACTATAACATCACACTATACAAAATAAAACATTTAATAGTAAGATTCCTTTTTCCCCTAACATGAGCCATAGCAATGGGGAAGCTTGGAAGTGACAGGGAATATAACAGGGCAAATTTTTTTTAATGGTGTGCTTTTAAGAAAATGTTGCGACTCGAAAAATGATGACTCAGAAATAAGTGGTACATGCATGCATGTGCCTGTACATACCATCAATGATAAAGTGTGTTTGCAGTGGGTGCACCATGAACATGTGCATCCTATAATATGACTAACATGGTTGAAGAGGCTCTCTGGAGGGGTCTGCTGGAGAGAGGGGGTCTGAAGAATGGTTGGGGAGAAGGGGGGTTGGAAGGCAGGGCCAAAGCTCTGGGAGAGAGGGTAGGAAGCAAATAATTAAGCAAGGTGAGTCTTCGTGAGGTGAAAAAGGGCAGGTTGAAATAGCCGAAAGCAGGTATCAGCTGGTCAGACATTCAAAATCTTGTTTACAATGCCCAATCAACAACCAAGGGATGTTTGGTTCAGAACGAAAATGTATTTGTCTTGATAGGAGGATATGATGTGAAGAAAGCCTGGTAAATATAGAAAATGCCACTTAATCTTGAAGTTTTTCTCAAAAGAAAAAAAATGCTGCAGGAACCAGGACATTTTTCAGCATATTTAATAAACAGCAACCTAGCAGCAATCAATCCAACTGCACAGCATGGTGTCCATACAACTTGTGGGGCCAGGACCATACCATAGAGCTTTGTGAGGAAATAATATACTGGGATAAAATATGGGTGTTAATATTAAAAAGAAACCTACTTGTACTTCATCTCCATCATCCGCATTCACTACATACATCCCTAGACTCTAAATAAACAAATACTGACTGTCACCATTCATTTATCATTATCATACAGAAGTGAGAGAAGATTATATCAATAAGCTTTTTAAAAAGTGCTTGTCAAAATGTGGATTGCTTGACATCTTAATATGTCTTTAAGTCTGAAAGAAATATAATATAATTACTGAGTTGAGAATGGTTGTCTTTAGCTTTTGTTTTAGACTTCTTTTTGCTTTATCTATAGATTTCATCTTCAGACAAATGGTTTTCTGAGGTCAACTAATCCAAGTGCAGTTAGCTGAAAAGTGCAAACTTACATGTATATACCATTAAACTTTGATAGAGTACAATCAACATCTTGACCACAAAGGTTTCCAAAAAATATATAATAATAAATAACATAATAAAAAAGACTAAAAAAGACATAACACAAACATGTTTAATACGCCAAAATAGGCTCTACAAGGACATCTTTTTCGAATTTGGTACCTCTGAAAATATCACACATAAAATCACATAATGAGAGAGTAAATGTTTAGATTCATCCAGTAAGTGATATCACAAGATGAAAAGGTAAATAGAATACTGAACTTTCTAGGTAATGCATAATCCAATTGCTGTGATCTGTGCCACCTATCTTCCACAAGAAAACTTGTGAAAATAATGTGATGTTAATGTTATGCTTACCTGTGTTTCTTCATCTGGATGAGTCATATAGGCTGGTGGTTCAACAAACTCTGCACCGTACATAGTTCCTCCAGGCACATATAGGTGGCTCTCTCTGTTCATGTAACGTTTGTATCTGGAGAAAAAAACAACAACAGCATTTATTATGCAAGATGCAAATCAGTGGATCGTTTTGTATAAAATTTATGCAAATGATGTCATAAAAAACATTTTATGGTTCTTATACAAGTAAATAATCATTGCTATATTTAGTGTTACTTATTGTTAGCACATGCACTTGCTGTACGTGTCTGTTAATTCAAGAAGTGTAATATCTCTTATGCCCTTTGCATTTTATGCAGGCTGTAACATTATGTTTTCAATATTGGTCACTACATGTAAAGGGAACTCTTTCTTACATAAGAGCCAGGCTATTAAGTCAATCGATCAAGGAGCTGCCATACAGATAAGTATACTGCACTATGTGGCAAGGGCCTCATGAACAAACTTCCATACAGACAACAATAGCTCAATTTCACCAAATACATTGAAATGAACCAACATACCAGAAATCAGATGGCCAGAGCACTGACCAAAGGATGACCTTACCTTGACCAGAACCAACACAGCAAAATAATGCCCACAATGGCCAGAATAAGGATGAGGAGGGCAATCACCAAATATGGCCACCAGATGTCCCCATCGTTCATGTAGACAAACTTGCTTTCAGCAGCAGTGGGTCCTTTGGTCTCTCCAGTGTAAGGAGCACGGATGTCATCCACTCTGACACCAGGTCCTGCCTTCACTGCACTAGCAATTCCAGCAACAGCTGCCTTGTTCATGATTTTACTGGTGTTGAATAAGGTATAAAGATAATCAGATATTATAGAAACAAAATGTTGGGCATTACATTTGAAATACTAAAATTGTTTTTGTTAAAAAAGTTATAAAAAGTTATTAAAATACATTCTAAAATGCCTTTTTCTAGCCTGAAGATATAAAGAGACAAAAGGAAATGTGTAAGGTATGGACTTCATAGAACTTGGTCTGAAATGGCCTCCACTTGCAAAAAGTTAGATGAAGACGATTAAATCTTTCACCTGCTTTAGCACATAGTAGAGAACAAAAATAGGAAAACTTAATTAATACAAATGTAAATTACCTTTCAATATCTAGTTGTGCCCTCTCCACAATTTTCTTAGTTGTTGGATCTACAGCCACAAACCACAGGTCAGTACTGAGGTAGAATAGAACAGAAAATGCATGTAATATATTTAATAAATCAAGGGAAAACTTTTTCTATTTTTGTCAAACTACATGTGACATTGTTCTGAATATTTGACATGAAAACTTACAATGCAGACATGTAAGATCACATTAAGCAAACAAATTAGAAAAAAACTCAAATACTCACTCTTCATCAGAACTTCTGATTTCCACATTATTTCGGATTGTTTGAACCTGCAAATTGGCATTCTCTATCTTCTCAATAAGAATCACATAACCAGACTTCTGTTGTAGTATGCTGTAAAACAGAACCGCACTATTACTGAACTAATGTACCTTTAACACTGAAGCTGCTACTGATGCAGTATTTTTGAGAAATTCAAACTGGTAGAAATGTTCTATCTTGTGAGCCAGATACTGCAACCATTTATAAACAAACAAATAAATAAATATACAACTAAATAAATAAATTTACATATATAATGGAAAATATTTTTTTGAAAAAACCCACGGACATAAATAAATATTTAATACAATTCATGGACTGTGTACACAAATTGCTTAGGTATATAAATATCTTACATACACTGAACACATTTCCTACACACTTACTCTATGATGGCAGCCTTGTAAGCAGCTACTTGGACTGGTTTCTGCTTAGCTATTCTCATTATCATGCGGTGGCGATCCAAAATGAGATTGATCTAATTTAAAATAAGGGTATTATAAATGTCTGGAAATTGACTAGGCATAGAAACCTGGTCTTTTTGGTATATTACACCATATTCACTCTGTACAATAGCAGAAGTGAGCAAACTTCAAACAACAGCTTATTTTACCTTAACTAAGGCATAATAACTTGTTGATATGAAAATTCTATTTAGAATGAGAAAATGACGCTAAATGACAGAAAATTCTAAGTAAAATTACAAATAAATTAAACTTATAATTACCCAGGCAACATTAACACTTCTATTGGGTGTTTCCGTAATATCAGTGGGGTTGTCCTCAGCAAACACCTCCAGCTTGAAGGGCTCCGCAGTGGTCTTGTTGCGCTCCTCTGTATAGACAAAGTGCTTGGTAGTATAGATCTGGCCGTCCCGTGAAGAGATGGTGAAAGGAAGTGGGGCACCATTTGCAGGAGGAATGCCGTAGGTGACATTGGCATTGGGGCCCAAATCAGCATCGGTTGCCTGTCAAAAATCCATTTTATATCATTAAAAACTGAGTAACTGTTTGTGATTAAAAATGCAATTGTACTACAACAGAAGAATTAATTATCTGAAAATTTCATCTTTTCCCTTAATCACCAAGGCACACCACATGTAAAACAATTGACAAAGTTGCAATCAATAAATCCATTTCTGGGCTCTAAGTCAATAACTTTTGAATCATTCTCTTAAAAAGAGTAACTATCACTATCAGATATCACTGTAAAATAGACATTTAGAACTTAAAAAGAGTTTAAAGATCTAAAATTTTTAAAGAGTATTGAATAGGATATTCAATACTTAAGGGTGATTAAGGGTAAAATGTTGATATTTCCAAAGAAAACACTCTTACAGCTCTCAATTTCTGTAAGACAGCTTTGTACATATAATGTAACATATTCTGCATATTAAAAAATGTAAATGAAAACTGGAAATTAATATGAAAAGGAAAGGACCTCCTGTTTGATAACTATAAAAAAGGAAATATTTACAAAGGCCAAAAAAGACCATCCTTATTTTTCCATTTTGCCAAACACAGACAATGGATATTATAAGTGATGAAATACATCATGGAATAAATAAGACTAATGCCCAAGTTGTAAATTCCTGAGCAGACTGGGCAAATTTCTTGGGCATAGTTATAACTCACCCAGATTTGTACAACTGGACTGAAGGGGAGTGCAGCAGAAGAGATGACGCCATAGTACACGCTTTCCGTGGGGTCACGTATGGACTTGAGGTACGGGGGCTGGCGGTAAACAAACTGTGGTGCATTGTCATTGGCGTCGAACACATGAACCAAAACAGTGGCTGGCTGGTAGGTGTGGTAAACCACAGCTACAAAGAAATAAACAAAAAGATTTTATTTTTCAAAAACTTGTGTGTAGTTTTTTGAAGGGCATATCTGACTGACAAATCAAACAGTTGATAAATAACTGATATTCTCAATAAGACTCAAAACTTCACGTTTGGTCTTTTACACCTAAACCCGTCACATTCTAAATCATTCTCTCTCCCCCACCCCCCCCCTTGACAGCATGCAACACAAACTTCTATGTACATGTTGTGATCATTATTATCATTCTCAATAATCAGCAATACTGCAATCAGGCCATAGCTCTTTCCTTGCTTCAAACATTCACACATGCTTATACAAATACTAATGTTTACAAAGGGACATGTAGGTACCATTTTCTTAATAATCTTTGGTATGGCCACGTCATTGGAGATTGAATGAACATCTTCCAACATCTGAGACAAGCACTCAACCATTATCCAGAAAAAAATGCCTAAAAATGTCTACAGTCTTTAAACATTGTCTGCAAAAACCTACCCCTCTTTTTCCTAGAGTTCTCTGGGTTAACATTTTCGACTGTAATTGTTAAATTGTAGAAGTCCACAGCCTCCCTGTCCAGATCTCCAATCTGCCAAAGTTCACAATCCTTGAAATTCCTTCTGATTTCAAACACATCTGAAAAAACAACAGAATTCAATGTGGTCATGCTAAAGACAAAATGACCCACATCTGACAATAGTTATACAAGAGGCTGGCGTGGCAAGAACCGTTGTGATGCATTCATTGTAATGGTAAGTCAATTATGTGTTGTGTTCTTTGTGACAGAAAGGTACATATTACAGGTATAATAATTCATAGCTTTTAGAATCTAACTACTATCAAATGGCTCTATTCAGCAACACATATATTACTTACTACCAATATCTCTAGGAGCAATGTTACACTGTACAGCAGCATTGAGCAAAGAGTATCGAACTGTCAAGTGCAGCAGCTTCCTGTTCTTGGCCACATTTTCTTTAGTGCCAATGCTGAAATTAAAAGCATTTAAAATTAAATGACATGTGACATGAAGAAAGATGAAGCACAAGCACAAAATGATATTATTAATAAATAAGGGTAAATCTGAAATGTGGATGATTATTGCAATGATTTGATCAGAACTGTCTTACTTTTATACTTAAATATATCAATTAATTAGTTGTATATGTATATATAAGGTAAATGTACATATATTATTATTTTTGAGATTAGTGCTTTACTTACTAGTATAAATTCTTTTCAAACCCTAGGACCTTCTCTCCAGTGTCTGGTTGGTCTTGTCTTGCCACATTAATCACAACCAATGCTGTGGAACTCTTGGGAACAGTGGCTCCATCTTTGGCAATGACAGTAAACTGAAAAAAAAGAAGAATTAATTTTCAAATAAGTCTTGGTTTTATAATGTTATTAAGTCTGTCCATAATGCAATTATTGACTCACATTTACTATAGCAAAGAATCTGAGACAAAATCTTAGGAAATACTAAAAATATTGAGATTTCCTGTCCAGGGTATAACACCTACCGTGTACTGAGTTCTCCTATCAATGTCATTGACCAGTAGCTGTCTGATGGAGACAACTCCAGAGTCTGGGTGGATTTGGAAGAACCTGTTACCTAGCTGATCTTGGGAACTGATACTATATGTAATCTTTGAGCTAGGGTACTGAAACAAATAAATGAAGGAAAATGCAATAAAGGAATATAAACAAAAATCATCATTCACTGCAAATTCAATGCAGTTTATTGTCACAGTGATATTTGAATGGCATTTGTTACATACTGATGTTGCTTTGACTACCACTAGGTTGGTGACACATCACATAAATATCATAACAATAACAAAATTGAAGGGATAACTGTGCTGCTCTTTGGAATATTCAGCAGCAATTGGTATAATTGCTGAACATTATTATCATTATTTTACACAATGAAAATAATTTAAGATATTGGATTCAATGCCTTTAACAGAGAACTATTTTCACATTGTTGACAATCACCAATTTCATACTTACTCCAGGTTGTAGAATGCTGTCTTCATCGGTAGCGCTGACAGTCACCAAGTTGGTGCCATATGGAATCTCCTCACTGACATTTTGCAAATATCTGTCAGGGCTGAACTTTGGACCATGTTCGTTTCGTAAAACAATAACATCGAGGTATGCTGTAGCAGTGTATGGGATAGCTCCAACTGTATCTGTGGCTGTGATTTCCATCTGAAATACAAAACATTTAGTTGTGACTATGTATAAAGTTGTGTCTCTTCACGAGTCAGATACTGGTAAGTTATCTAAATGATGAAACTGTTGTCATTGGCATCCCTGTAAATGACAAGTGAAACAGAGCAAACTGACAGGACTTAGTTCAAAACTACAGACAGCCCATTCCATGTCCATGTTGTTAGTATATGCCAATTGTAACTGTCGTATCATTCAAATGCACTGCCATAATGTTATAATTATTATATATGTCAGTGTTGTCAAATATGATAATGAGTGAACTACACCGCACAATGATGCACAGGAAAAACACTATGAAATGGAAACTTGTGTATGACCCATTGTGTGGAATTCTCATGCAATATTAAGCCTCACTTCATCAGTTATAGTATTGAACAGTAACAACATTGTCAATACTAAAGCATGATGACATTACTATACATGTACTCACCTGGTACAGCTTTGTCTGTGTGAGATCTGTGTACAATGACTGTGCTACAGTGACAACGCCTGTATTAGGGCTGATGATGAAGTATCTGGCAGCACCAGTGGTACTGCCTCTGCCTTGAAGAGTGTATCGAATGGAGTTCTATAAAAATACATACATGTATATAAATATATGTATATTAGTCATATATACTTGTGAGATACAAGAAACAAAAATGGAATTAAAATAAATGAAAAAAATAGGCGAGCAATGGAGAAACTTGACAACAAAGCAGAGAATGCTCATTGTGTCATATGATGTTGCAACAGCTGAAATTAGTTACAATAAATAAATAATAACTAAAAATAAAATATATAAACATTTCACATATTCCATCAAACTAACTTCAGTCATTTATAAACATCTTCCATTGAGGTACACCTATATTCTTACCCGTCCATCAGCTTTGACTGTCTGTACAGGTGTCTGCACTCTGACATACTCTGAGATGGTGGCATTGTAGGATTCAGTGCTGAAAACTGGCAAAACTGAGGGCCTGCTGACGTATACGATCACTGTGGCGGTACTGGTCTTCTCTGGGTTTCGTCTGTCCGTGGCAATTACTTGGAACTCTAGCAAGTCGCCAGGGATGGTCTGAAGGTTCCTGAAGATGCTGATGGTGCCTGAGACCTCATCCAGTGTGAAGTATGAGGTCACTTCATTGGAAACTGCCATTTTGTATCTCACTGCATCCTGAAAACCAATTATGAAAATTTATATTCTGAATCATATAAGAATGTTGTGGATTGTTCACTGGAATATAATCAGCTACATGATGGTATCTGGAGACAGAATAAATTTTACATCTTTTTTGTATATGTTTTTGATTTTGTAAGGACTTAATTGCAAGATCTGATTTGATGACAAATATTACTTTGACAAACTCATCATTGCCATGTAGTCTACTAGTCAAGGTTTAAAAAAGAAAAAAACTGGGTGAAATGTCCACTTACTCCATCTAAATCAGTAGCTCTGACAGTCACAATCTCCGTGTTGATTCTGTCTGATTCAGAAACATTAGCAGTGTATGTTGATCGTGAGAACACAGGAGCGTGCATGTTTCTGCTGACGTAGATGTTGACAATTGTGCTTGCGCTTCTTGGAGGAATGCTTCTGTCTGTTGCTTTTATTACCAACTAAAATATGCAAATGGGGTTTAATCACAATATCAAAAGCACTCAATTGGTTATGGAGCTCGTATCTGCATTTTAAAATGTTATCACATAATATCTTGATATCAGGACAACTGTCCCAATATGCTTTCCTCCTGTACATAGTGATTTCAGATGTTTATTCCACAACAGGGTATCATGACTGTGTTATAACATTTAAAATTCTGAAAGGGAAGAAGAAGCAATTCTTATCATATCAAAATGCCTTAAATACTTGACTTAACAATGATACACAACTACTGCATATCTCTACCCATACACTTTCCATTTTTCAGCTGAAGTTTATACTCTGTTTATACAACATACTTTATACTCTGTTCTTTTTTCTGGGTCCCCTGTGAGATAGCTGGCTACTGACAGGTCTCCCTCTGTTGGATGGATATAAAACCAGTGTGTAATGGGTTGTGGAGATGTCCTAGTTGACGCCTCTGTATCAATGGAATATGTTAACTGACCCTTGTAAAAGAAAAAGAGACACTCATAATTTTCAATCTTTCAATCTTTGTAAAATATAAAATCTACAAGTATGCATGACACCCAACTTTGTATTCCCAAACAGTGCAGATGATTGAACTATTGATATTGAATAAGGATGGAATATGTGATTGTATAAGGTTGGAAATAATGCCTTTGGGTTAAACTCTGAAGTGACATGACTGTGTATTAAGCTCAACATAGTGTTTTCCACTCCTTTCACTGTATTTTCTGTCATGCTATTAATTCAACTTACTCCCTTTGGATCAGTAGCAGTGACTCTCTGTATTGGCACAATTCTCTCCTGTGTTTCGGTGATGTTGATGGCAAAGGCAGAGTACAGGAAGCGGATTGGTTCCGCCACTCTTAGCACTCGGATGTACACTGGAACAGAGCTACGACCATATTCAGCATTTCTTGTGTCGTAGGCATCCACTGTCAACTACAATTATAAAAGATGGCAAATATAAGATTAACTTACATTCTCTATTAAATTATCTACATTTTATATATCTGTCCACCATATGGTTTAATTCAAATTTCTCATGTGCATGGTACTTTAAGTTACTTTTCGAGAGTAAAACAAAAGCATACCAGTATAAAATATTGTTTGAAATAATTCACTTAATCCTTTATCTGTACTAAATAACAACAATTCTGCAAATACAGCAGACAAATTCTCTACAAACATACACTGAATGTGTTGACATCTGTAATTTGTTTCAGATTGGTGGCAAGGTAGATGGCGCCTGTGTCACGATTGATGCGGAAATGCTCTGCACCGGAGCCAATCAAATCATGTCTGAGTTCACCCTGTAAGGAAAGCACACAATAAAATATGCCAAAACCTAAAAGATGACCAACCATAAACAACATGCAATGCCCTTTTCAAAGAAAAAATTCCTGAAAATCTCAGCAATTTGCCCTTTACAACCAAGTAAAAAGCAATTCAAAACCTTTAAAAAACTGCCATGTACAAATCAGTTTTCAAGCTCATAGATGATTATTTTTAGTATTACAAAAGGAATTTGCCTGTTTCCAGGCAAGCTGAAAACTTATAACTCAAAAACAATGTTATAAAGTGTAATTTTGTCAACAGTTTTGGATGTAGTATGTTCTATTCATTTTGCACCTATGAAAGGCTACAAGGTACTTTTCACAGTTTACACCAGAATTGATGAAGTGTGGACATATAAGAATGTATACCCTACCAGTAGTGCCAGTCCATTTCTTATGACCTCTACTTGGACCACAAACTGGTTGAGTGGCGCCAACTCGGAGACATTGGCTCTGTACTCGCTCTGGGTGAACCTCGGTACTGTGGTGTTCTGAACCACCCTGATCCAGATGTTCACATCTCTGTATTTAGGCACTGGTCTGCCACCATCTGTGGCTCTCACTGTGACCTGGAATAGAACAGGTGTTTGATGGTATATCCATTATAAATGTTAACAGGAAATAGGTGTCAAAACAGGTTTTTTCATCATCTCATGTGTCATGAAAATAGAAAAGAAAATGGTTTCTAAATAGACCAAATGTATCAGGTGTGTGATCAAGGTCACATAATGAACCATGCCTCGCAGGTAGAAAACAGTAATATGGCCATGTTATGTCAAATAATGCTATATGTTTGTGCTAATATATATATATATATATATACAACATTTAACCACCGCCACACCCATATTTACTTACAATGTACAGCTCTCTGGTGTCCCTGACAATAGACCTCCTGAGAGAGAGAACACCAGAATCAGGACCAATCTGGAAGGTGTCATTGTGCTGGCCTACTACACTGTATCTGATCACACTGTTAGGACCCTGGTAAAAAAAAGAAACAAATGAACAAATTTGTTCTTTTTATTTGCATATATAAAGAGAGAATATTGTCAGACTGTAAGAATCTTCACTATAACCCTTAAGGACTTCATTTTTCCTCAGTATTACTGGTATTTTGTATGGGACTGGTGGTAATGTGATAGTGCAGATGATATATCAAAGTAAGAGAAAAAATTAGTGTTAACCCTTCCTCCTTCTCCCTCCACACTAAGTATCAGTGTCATAGACTTACCTGTGGATCAGGATCTCTAGCAACTATAGTGTAAATCTTTGTGGCGACCTCTTGGTGTGAAGGTATGGTGAGGTTGGCAACCCTCTCAAATGTTGGTGCATACTGGTTCCTTGTGACAGATACAAGCACCACTGCCGTGCTGGACCTTTGAGGAGTACCACGGTCTTTAGCTTCCACCACAACCTGGTAAAATAATAGACCATCAGTTTTCTTTCCATCAAATCACTTTTAGATGTATAAAAGCCACAGAGACTAAATTTTAATCTAAGGCTCTAGGTGTGATGTGAAATAATGAACAGTGATTGCAGCATGACATGTTTTGTGAATGATACAACAAAATATTTTGTTAGGGACGTTAATCATTTGTGTTGTTTAAATTAACTGAGTAATTATTGTAACAGATTTGATGCATCTTATGTGACAGAAAATTGCATTTTGATATGTAACTGATATAATGAATATTTTAATGTTTTACTGTGATGCTCAAATACAATATCTTATATATATAAATGAATTACTACATACTGTATATGAAGTGGCCTGAGTAGCATCCTTCCATAGAACCTTGCTGATTAAGATTTGCCCAGAAGTTGGATGGATGAAAAAGTATTCTGGGGCATTTTCATTTCCAATAATATTGTAATACAAGGTTCCCTGCAAAAATAAAAAGTAATGGTTAAAACTATTGTAGAATATTGAATATTTTTCACCATTAAAAAATGAGATTTAAAAGTCAAAGCAAGATATTCAGTAATTGTAAATTGCGATAAAATTATATGTAAATGTTTTATTCCAATTAGTTACAAATAAAAGAAAAATCACCAAGCCATAAGTAATTGAACTTAAAAATGATCCTGATAATCTGTCAGTAACTACTGCTTACATCTGAATCCCCATCAGTTGCTGTGACATTGGTGACCAAGTGACCCACATGGGCGTGTTCATCCACAGTGGCCGAGTAGTCCGTCCTTGTGAACTCTGGTCTGTACACATTACGATTCACTGTCACTGTCACTGTGGCACTGCCAACATTGCTGGGGTACTTCTCATCATAAGCTATAACCACAATCTGAAATAACACAGAAATAAAATGCATGAGTCCCACAGCTCTACGTAACATGAATTCAGATTTATCTTAACATAACCTTTACATCAGTTAAATTTTCTTTTAGTATAGCTCTAGAATATATCATATTCTCAGAGAACATATAGCACCAAATCAATGACTGATCGACTGGCTCAATTAAATCTTATCATTTGCTTTTCTGTTCATCCTCATTCGCCATTTTAACCTTTTAAAATAAACGTTTATGTATCAAGACATACAATACTATCACTTACTCTGTACTGTTCATTATTGTCCCTGTCCAGCCTGTCTTTGACACGTATGTCTCCATTCTGGTTTATTACAAAACGCTGTGGTGCTGGACTGATGCCATTAATATCATAGATCAGCCGGCCCTGGGGGAAAAATGGAAATGTTCAAGAAATGCAGTCTGATGTTATGTTTGGTCCCATGTAAGATATACATCTGGGTGCCATCTAGTGCCAGACAGTTTTTTATAATAATATTCAAAGAGGATCAGTCCCCCCCCCTCTTCTAATTAATTTACCATATTGCACTACTGTATTTTACTAATATCATTATTGCCATTATTATTTACAAATTACTTTTTTCCATTTTGAATCCAATCTTATCAATTAATTCATAAGAGAAAAATAAACTGAACAGAACCGAATTAAAATCTCACCTTTAGGTCATTGTCCTCAGCTGCCACATTAATCACAAAGGTATCAATATTGACAGTTTCATTGACTGCAGTGCTGTAAGGCCCATTAAATTTGGGTGGCCCAGTGTCTCGTATGACCTTTATAGACACAGGGGTCAGTATGAACTTCTCTGGAGAGCCTCTGTCAGTGATGTTGATGTGGAAGTTAAAATCAGTAATGTTGGTGTCAGACAGAGGAGACTTCAATTGTAACTCTCCAGTGTCAGGCTGTATGTAGAACCAGTGCTTCACATCGTTGTTTCCAACAATTCTGTATGTCAACTGGTCCTAGGGAAAATAAATTATGTTTTTTATATTTCAGTAAGGTTTGAACAAAATACACATTGTCAATTATAACCAGAACTTTTTTTGAATGGGATTTGCTTCTTTCATAAAGAAGAGAGACTATGTAAGTTCTTCAGTCTTCATTCAGGAAGGTTGGGAGTAAACATACATTCTTAAATTATAAACCTTGTTCAGTACTTCACCTAAGAAGTTAGCCATCCTGATAATAATCTTAACCTGGAAATTATATTACATATATTCTTACTGTCATGTGCAGCAGAGTTATGAGTGATCACACTCAGAGCACCCTGACAGCATTAAAAAAGTGATTTTACATAAGAAGACTACTGCAGATTTATCCCAAATTGAAAAGGACCAAAATTCTGGTCTAAAAATTGAGACCAACCAATTTCTTTTAAAAAAAAATGGCAACAGGTTTCTCGATCTTCATGATCTCCATAAAATACATTTTACTCTCTGTTGTAATCTCTGCACTGCAATATGCTATATGATATAAACAGTGTACATATCCAAGTGTAATCTTACCCCATCTCTATCAGATCCCATCACAGTGAAAATAACATAGCCAGGTGGCTGGAACTCCTGAAGATCTGTTGTAAATGGTCCGTTCAGCACCTCAGGTCCATACCTGTTCCTGTCCACATACACATAGAACTCCTTGACAGCTTTGTTCTCAGGGAAAGCACTGCAGTAGGCTTCAACACGAAGCTGAAATAAGGAGCAAATGTGTTTTAGATGTAACAGTGTAATATTGTGAAAGGTATGGTGGCGCTCAATACTGCAGCAGTTACTGTGACGTTTGAAGGTGTGATAACATGATACTGCGTTATGTGACAATTTAATATTTTGATGACTGTGACCAAACATTATTTCGCCTCTGCCATAAGTCTCACATAGCCTTAATGTTGCTGAGAGAAAGAGATTCTTAAATCAACTGACACATTCGAATAAGTATAGGTGTGAATCTACAAAATCATAAATTTGCTAAACATGCCTATTTATATGAGTTAAATACTCTTTTTTCAAACCTCTTTTTGGTCATACATTATCTGTAAAACACATGTCACTAAAATACAACTTAATAAATTTTTTTTGTTGTACATTGTCCTGATAAACAAATAGATGTAAAGATAAAATTGATCATTTGTGAAGATACATATTAAAATAAAACCTACTACATATGGGTTTGTGTTGGAGACATCCAGTTTAAGGTCAGTCTTCAGGGAAATCTCTCCCGTGGTGGGTTCTATTTCAAAGAAACTTGGCGCTGGGAATTCTCCAATCAAATTGTATAGGATTTGGGCCGAGTCCTGAAGAAAAATAAAACATATAAGGCAAATGGAAATAATGTCATAATGTAAAAAAAAGTCCAGTAAAAAAATCCAGGCAGTGATTCTTTCTTTAAAATTTAAATAAGAGTTACATATTTCATAATGAAAAATTTGAATCTCAAATCTCATGTCATCTGGTAATCTGTATGATAAAATGAAAGGATGCTTAAACAAGCAGAAAAAACAAACTTTTGATCTCTACATAACTCACAAAACAAGTCAGTTTTTGCATCTGTTAACTTACAGGACAGTCATCATCTCTAGCTCGCACAATGGTAATGACTGTGGTTTCATTGGTGCTGTCGGGAACGGTGAAATTATTCTGCTGTCCTGGGAATTCTGGGACATTTTTGTCTCTGTTCACATGGACAACAATATTGGAACAGGCAGTGCTACCATATGGGTCATATGCACACACTAATACCTAGTGAAGAAAAAAATAGAGTACTATCAATCTGTTCAGTCTATATAATCATTCAAAAAATAGATAATATGAATTAAAATAGTATATTAAAATCTATACAGGTATTTAGTTACATTATTCTGTGCATATATAACAATCTATCTAATACTTAAACTAGCTCATGTTTGAAGAAGAACAGATTGAAGATATCTACAAACAATGTCACAAAATAATTAAGAGACTTGCAAATTAAACTGGTCTCTTCAGTGGCATATAATACAAACTAAAGGTTGTCTTCAAATAAAAAACCACAGTGTACTGTAACATCTCAGATATTTGTACACATACCACGTAGTTTTCAGTCCCTGATGTATCCAGAGTTAGATCCTTCTTCACAGAGATGGCGCCAGTGTCTGGGTTCACCCAGAAGTACTCCCTGGCCAACTCACTGCTGCTGATATTCCAGTACAGTTTGTCCTAAAACCAAAATATCATTATATTGTATAAACGAATAAAACAAACAGAGAAGACAAAGAAATTTGCAGGCTTGCTAGTTGATAATAAAATCTGCAGTTTGTATGTTACTAAATCAATTTTTTTTATTTGTAGATTACTCAATCAGTTTTTTACCCTTTTTATCTGGTTTATCTTTACAAGAGTTCATTCAGATTCATTCCAGGTTGTTTATAAGACCAATTATAAATAAATGTGCTTACTCCACTGGGATCTGTTCCATTCAGTATAAAGAGGTCCTCTCCTACCAGCTGGGTATCTTGTATGGTGAGTCTGTGTGATGTTGGGAAGACAGTTACTTGCCCAGGGTTTCTGGTAACAGTAATATACACATTGGCAACTCCCACAGAAGAAGGACTAGAAGTGTCGAACACGCGCACAACAAGCTGAAAACAAAAGGAAACACCATTAACACCATGTTCAACTCACTGCTGTGTGGGGTTTGTAAAAACTATAAGCACTAGTAGATACTTTTTCAACCATATAAAATGAAAGTTTTCCATGAATTTACCCTAAAAAGCTTCTACTGGTCCATTCTATTATTTCAAACATTGACAAAATTTTTCAAATACCTGTAAGAAACCACTGAATAGCTAACTGCTATTAATATGATACATTTAATGAAAAGATATAACAACTAAGTTAAAATTTGACAGGTCTTACAGTGTAGGAAGTCAGTCGCAATGTGTCTTTTCTCAAACTTCGGGCTATCTGTATCTGCCCACTGGTCTCATTGATGGAGAAGAATGTTGGTGCAGGGTATATTCCATCTGATTCATACTTCAAATGGCCCTGGATACATAATATATGAAGATATCATTTATCTACACCGATACATAAATTAGAAAAAATAATCTTTGAAAAAAAAAAACATTTTCATCTTCAATAGTGATTCCCAAGATTAATTTATAATGAATGTTTGAAGATTTGTTACATTTTCTAGCATACATCGCAGTGACTTTTAAATCTTGCATTATTTCAATTTAAAATAACTATAAAACAGTATAACTACAATCATTGAAAAGATTTATCAGCTAAACTTTTTCTCATAAATTCATATAAACAAAGGAAACTGAGGGATATAAATTCATTAGATTTGATTACGCTCATAATAAATGCCATTTCTCATGCAAAATAACTGTCAACTTACAACCACATTGTCCTTCCTGCCTTGGATAGTGGCAATGACAGTCCCCACTGCCATATCTTCTGGTATCTCCAAAGTGACATTAGCGACCTCTGGTGTCACATCCTTGATCACATTGACCCTAATGTTGACTTCTGCTGTGTTTGGATTGTCACCTACTCCTCTGTCAGATATTGTGACCATGCACTGTTGAAAAAAAAAAAAAGATTTATAACCATACATAGGTGTAAACATTAAACAGTTGTTATACTGCTGAAACTGCATATATCTTAAATGAAGCAGTTGAAAGTCTTGGAATCTCTTGACTGTGCAACTGATGATTTCTTTCATCAGTGCCAGTTAAATGTGCTACATGTACTTTTATTGGTGACTCAGAGAAAAATATCATATAAAAGGTAGAGCAATTGCATTATATACATTCAATCAAGTAACCTTAAAATAAAAAGTTTAAAGTGAACAAAATAACCAAAATCCCACATATATCATCAAAAAAAGAATTCAATTAATGAATATTAAATAACAATCCATAATATTTCACTATTCTCTTGACTATCTGGAGCAGATATTCTATAAGTCAACACGCAATTACTATAATATACTTACATCAAATGTTCTTGGTGAAGATTCCTCTAGTGTACTACGTAGGGACATCATTCCAGTATCAGAATCCATGTAGAAGTACTGAAGACAATCTCTGCTACTTGTTAGCTTATAACGTAGATGATCCTGAATCCATAAAAATTAAGAAACTGAAGAAAGAGGTGCATAGGCAATAATGTAAGGTGTTCTTAACGTCTTAGATGTAAGGCTACCCACAAGTGTACAATTAGAGTAGCTTTTTATCGAGACCAAATGTCATATTGAAGATCAGAGACCTCTGTAACCTACAGTGAAACTGCCCCAATTCTGAAAATCCAGCAACTTTCCTAACAAAAGTTTCATTACAACATTAAAAGCAGGAAAATCTGCATCCCTGCTACCTTAATGATAACTTAAGTATAAAAATTGATTATGCATCACATTATTATTCCTTAACTTTGTTAAAAAAGCATATGCAAAATACTTGAGTATAAATAAACAAATGTAAACTCTTTCACCCAGGTGCATACATTATCTTTATCTGTAGCTGTCAAAGTAACAATCCTAGCACCCAGTTGATGATAATCTGTGATGTTCACTACTATGTAGTTGTATTCCGGCACAGGAGGATTCTCATTACGAGACACATAGAAGACAACATCAGTGTACGCCTTTACATCTGGGCGCAGACTGCTGTAGGCTGCTATTCTTTGCTAAAATGGACAAGAAAAACATATCTTCACATCCCAGGGGCAGATTTAGGGTGTCTTCTGGGTGTTCCGGAAGACGGTCAGATTTTCATGTTTACATTGACGGGTATCTAATATTTTCTGTTGGAAGACGGTCAAAAATGAAGGATGGATAAACAAAGATAATTTGGAAGAATGCCAGAAAATATCTTTGGATCCACCCCTGCATCCAATATCTAACAAAAAAAAAAAAAAATTACTTTCAAAAATGATGATTACTGATGGCATTAAATAATATGATCCTACCATAAATATCTACTGAATTGGTTAATCTATTTATTTCACTAAGTTACATTATGTATATTGGATAAGACACTAATCCCACAATTAACCAATTAAAATGTTCAATGTTGCCCTTCACAAATTGGAAAACAAAAAGCATTATATAAAACGTGTGTAAAAAGTCCTTCTGTAATATTAGTCTTACTCTATACACATCCAGGTTCCCATCTCTCAGTGAGTTTGTCAGGTATATAAACCCAGTGTCTTTTTGGATGCGGAAGAACTGTCCATACTCTGCCAGCTCATACTGTACTCTTCCCTGAGACTGAAGAAGAGGAGTAAAACGTATGTCAGGTTTGAAATAAAAGTTTAAACTAAATCATTCTAAATAATTCTGTGGTGCTGTCACAACATATATAGAGTCAAAAGTTTTGTGCCAGAGGCACTGCCAAGTTGTAAAACATGAAGTGACATATCACTGAATATCATGAAAAGTTTGGGATGTTTATTTATTTAATTTTTCTATCAATCCAATGTGTAAAACAACTGAATCTTACACCAGAGGGCAGCCTTGCCAGCACTTGGTCAAATACCAAACTGTCAGTAGGTCTGTTTTCAGAGACATTGACAATATAGGGAGTATTTTCAAAGACAGGCAATCCAGTGCTTGTGCCCACTACTTGGATAGTGAAAGTGGTCTCCTCTGAGTTGGGAGGCTTTCCATTGTCTGTGGCCCTGACAGTTAGCTAGAACAGTAAAGGTCAGAAATAGACAGAGGCCAAATTGTATTTAACTTATATCAATTGCAAATTAGCAACCAAAATACCTTGGACAAAGATGTTATAACCAATTTGTTTAAATAATCAAAATATCACTTATCAATATTCAAATTGCTTAACATTTAAAATATCAAGTTTCTGTTCAAATTAATAAAACATGAGTGGAAGATAATTACATAAAATGTCTCATTCCTGCCAGCTGGCAGAGGTCTCTTAATATGCACTGCCCCAGTATCTTTGTTGATATAGAAGTACTGCATTGCTCTCTGGTTGCCTATCAATTCATACTCCATCTTTTGCTGAAGAACATAAAAAGTGCACAGTATTAAAATCATGGTAATTTCTCAACAAATTAAAAACTAAAAATTATTATAATTAATAATATTAATAATATAATTGATAGTAAAATATCTATCAGATCATTACAACTTACCCTCTCAGCATCGACTGCAGTCACATTGACTACTACACCCCATCCATAGTCTTCAGCAATAGTCTTGTCATAGTCCCCGATAAATATGGGATATCCAGGATTTCTATTGACTCTGAATATAGTCAAAGCCTCTCTTGAGTTCTCGGGGAAAGCAGTGTCATACACACGGACCGTCAACTAAAAAGAAAATTTTCTTTTAATTAATGACACACAAATTACATGGTTTATAATACTGAAAAAGGCACGGCATTGAGTTTCATACAATAAATAAATTAATATGGCTATTTATGTAATGCATACAAAACCAAACAGGACCACTGGTAATAAGAGAATATATTATCAGTTATTTAGTATTACAAGGTCTTTTATGTTTTTTCCACAAACAAACTATTACTTATTGGATAAGTTTCCATGTCCATCGGTCAAAAGTCACAAGTAATTTTCTGTTCATGGAGAAATAGTTTGCCAATCAAATGAACTTATTTCAACTTATTTACATGTAGTATCAGTTTACAAGCTGCTAAATTATGGAATTAAAACATGAATTACACTTACAAAGTACTGTGTATTAAGTGCAGGGTCTTCTAGCAGGGACCTCTTTAGGTAAATTTGACCAGTTTCATTATTGATTCCAAAGAACTGCATTGATGTGTGATCCCCTACCAATTCATACACCAGCTCACCCTGAAATGTAACAACAGAAATTAATTTTCAAGAGATACAAACAGGAGAAAATATTTCACTGACATATGTATCCATTTGCAGCAGTTACGTATATACTTGTATAATTTTACAATTTTGTATAATTTATAAAATAAATCTAGTTTTTCTAAAACACATATCTTCTACCTTAATGGATCTGACCGCTAATTGCAGATCATAATAAGTAGTCACTGTATCACTAATCATTTCACAATATTAAAGGAAAACACAGTAATACCCTAAGATTGGCATCAGTAGCAGTGACATTAATAATGCCCCTATTCCTGGGCCAAGTCACTTCTACATCCACACCAGGTGGCAGGGTGACAACCGGCAGATCAGTGTCAAAGACAACATGGATGTGGACTGTAGCATTGTCTGTCTTCTCAGGGTTTCCTCTGTCACTGGCTTGTACGTTGAGCTACAGGTAAAAAGAAATGCTGCCTGTTACCTCCACATACACTCTTTAATAAGTGAAATTAAAATAATCAAATTTTTAGTTTGTACAAACAAGGATGACGGTGAAATGATACCGTGTTTGGGCATATATGTATGTATGTATCTGTCAGACTTCCAAATCACTTTACTCAGGCACCTAACAAACATCATAGCTAGAAATATATCAAAATTATCATCCAATAACAAGTCAATAATTTGCTTAAATGTTCCTTTAAACATACAAACATGATATTACTCAACATGTATGATATCATTTTAATTCACATTAACTTCTGACAGTATTGTTAATTTCTGCAATTTCTTCAGAAAATCATTTCATTAATCATTTAATTAAAAATTTTCCAAGTTGAGAAAATAAGATATATTTTTCTTACATAATAGTCTGAGTCTGAGAGTTGTCCAGTTGTGTAGATCCATCCAGTTGTAGGGTGTATGAAGAATTGTCCTCCACTTAATATACTGTATGTGATAGGATCCTACAATAGCAACAGGAGATCATGAAAATTATTGTGCATCATTAAGAAAAGAGAAGAGAAAATTATTCGATACTTTTTGGTGCAGAAAATTATTTGGTATAAGAACTCCATGACACCAAATATATTATGCGACACCTAAAATCACAGCTGGTGAAACTATCATAGCAGCCACATTATTATCTGTTTCATTTCTGCAGCTGGATTCAGTTCAACTTTTACAGAGTTCTTGGTCTACTGCTAAAATGCTCAACCAAAATTCATAGTAAATACAGTATATCTAAGGTTCTTTGTTAAGTCCTAGGTGTAATTGCAGTTGTTTTTTTTCTCAAATCCACTAATTTTGGTTGTCAGCAGCTCATGCCCCTAATGTTCTAATATATCCATTTCTGTCAGAGATTTTTACCTCTACCAGCAGTATTTTGCTACAACCTTATTTGTTGTCTACTTTCTCCCCCTTAAAAAGGACATTGCCATTCATTTTTACATTCACTGTTCAGTACTCACCCCATCCTCATCAGTGGCCTTGACTTGTACTAGTGCTGCTCCAATTGGTGTAGTGTCCTCTACCTCTACAGGGTACAAACTGGGGTTGAAGTACACGTTGCCACTGTTACGGTTAACATTAATCTGAACTGTGGCAGTATTCTTGGTATCAGTGTATGCTTGGTCGTATGTGACCAAGATTAGCTGGAAACAGGTAGTAATATGGTAAGAAGATGGCATGTTCTAAGAATTTAAAAATACTAACTTCTAGAACATGAAATCTACACCAAGGCATGCTTTTTTTGGCTATGACAGAATGTAGTTCAACCAAGTCAGGTCAAAGCTGCATAATACTTATTTTTAAGACCAAGAAAATGATTCTCAGTTGCACTATTACACATAAAGTATTCACTATTTTTAAGTTTCGTTAAAACTGATCAGAAATGGTAGAATGATGAGATTATGTCCAAGAGAAGACAGACAGACAGGCAGACTGCAGGAGTGCATCAACATCGTTGCCAGGGAAAAAACAAACAAGGCAGCAAAGCTGTCAAATGTACAGACAAAAAACAGGAAAAAAAAGATGCAAAATAGGTCATTTTGTCAATTTTGATGCAATAATATATGCTTATAATAGCACAGTCAGTCAACACTGATTTTTAATCATGCACAACAGGTAACATGGTCAATAACAGGAGCAGATCCAAAGATATTTTCTGACAGTATTCCAAAGTATCTTTGTTGATCCATCCTCCATTTTGATGGTCTTCCAACAGAAACCCGTAAATATTAACTTTAAAATCTGACTGTCTTCCAGGAGACCCAGAAAATGGTTTCAATCCACCCCTTCAATAAGATTACAGTTTCAGGACCATGAGAGTTAAAATTCACATGATGAAAGTCCCAATATATGAAAAATGATGACAGTGCATAAAATAATATTACAGCGTGTTTAAAGACATAAATACCAATACAACTGCTTATGTGGAAATACTGAAAATGTGCAGAGCCTCAGGTGGATGGGAGTTAAAAATCACATCTTAAAAATGCCAGTGTTGGAGAAAAAATTAAAAAGAAAACAACAAAAATATAATTCCAATGAAGCTGCTATTCACTGCTTCCTTATTATGGACACT